TGAGTCAAAAACTGGTAGAACTGCAAGGAGAAACAAGTGGGTTCAATATTGTTAGTTGGAAAATTTAACACCCTCCTATCAAAAATGGACAGATCCAGCAGGCAGAAAATCAGTAAGGACATTGTTGAGCTCTGTAACGCCATCAATCAGCTGTGTATAATGGACATCTATGGACTGCTTCAGCAACAGCAGAAGACACATTCTTCTCAAGCTCACACAGCATATTCAGAAAGATAGACCACACGGTGGCCTGGAAAGCACACCTTAACAAATTTAAAATAGTAGAAATCATGCAGTGTCTGCTCTCAGACCACAGTGAAATTAAACTAGAAATCAGTAACAGAAGATAGCTGGAAAGTCCCTAGTTACTTAGAGATTAAACAACACACTTGTAAATAACACATAGATAAAGGAAGAAATCTCAGGGAAAACTTAGAAATATTTGGAACTAAATGAAAATAGAGTAACATCAAAAACATGAACTGTCTAGGATTAAATGCAAAAAAAACTGCAAAGGGTGCAGTGGCTCACACTGTAATCGCAACACTTTGGGAAGCCAAGGTGGAAGAATTGCTTGAGCCCAGGAGTTTGTGAGCAGCCTGGGCAATATAGTGAGACTTTTTCTACAAAAAAAAAAAAATTAAAAAATTAGCCAGGCACGGGAGCACGCACCTGTAATCCCAGCTACATGGAAGGCTGGGGCAGGGGTATCCCTTGAGCCCAGGAGGCAGAGGTTGCAGTGACCTGAGATTGTGCTGCTGTACTTCAGCCTGGGTGGCAGAAAGAGACCCTGTCTCAAAAAAAGAAAAAGAACTAGTGGGGAAACATCAATTTATCATTGGTGTAAGGTAAAGACCTTTATACATGAAGGGATACCCCTTATTCATGTAATGAGAGGGTCACTGTTGTGAAGAAGATACCAGTTTTCCCTAACTAGGTCTGTAGATTTACTGCAAATTAAATTATATATATTATATATGTTTCATATATATATAATATATATAAACTATTTAATATTACCTAAAATTTTTATATATTTATATATTAAATATATATAAATTTTACATATATATTTAATATATATATTATATATATTATATATATTAAATATATGTATATGTAAAATTTTAGGTAGACATTTACAGGCTGATTCTGGTTTTTATATGGATATATAATGGATCAAGGATAGCCAGACACACCTAAAGAATAAGACAAAATGAGAAGACTTGCTGTACTAGATATCAAGTTTAATTAAGATAGTATAGTGCTGTTCTAAGGAAAAGTAAATCAGAAACATATCTACTTTTGTAGGGACACTTGATTTATAACAAAGGTGGTGATGTATAGTGGTTGGGGAAGGTGCTGATTTAATTGTATACACGTGTTGAAACAGATAAATGCTGACCCATATTTAACTTTCATACATAGAGATTAATTTCAGGTGGATGTTAGTTCTAAATATGATAGGCTTCTAGATAATAATATAGTTTATCATCCTTATGACCTTTAAGAATAGGAAAAGATTGGCCGGGCGCGGTGGCTCAAGCCTGTAATCCCAGCACTTTGGGAGGCTGAGGCGGGTGGATCACGAGGTCAAGAGATCGAGACCATCCTGGTCAAAATGGTGAAACCCCGTCTCTACTAAAAATACAAAAACATTAGCTGGGCATGGTGGCGCGTGCCTGTAATCCCAGCTACTCAGGAGGCTGAGGCAGGAGAATTGCCTGAACCCAGGAGGCGGAGGTTGCGGTGAGCCGAGATCGCGCCATTGCTCTCCAGTCTGAGTAACATGAGTGAAACTCCGTCTCAAAAAAAAAAAAAAAAAGAATAGGAAAAGATTTGTTTAAAAATATAGAAAAAGCAGCTGGGCGTGATGTCTCATGCGTGTAATCCCTGCACTTTGGGAGGCCGAGGCAGGTGAATTGCTTGAGGCCAGGAGTTTGAGACCAGTCTGGCCAATATGGTGCAACCTTGTCACTACTAAAAATACAAAAATCAATCAGGGGTGGTGGCACGTGCCTGTGCTCCCAGCTACTTGGGAGGCTGAGGCACGAGAATCGCTTTAACTCAAAAGGTGGAGTTTGCACTCCAGCCTGGGTGACAGCGAGACTCAAACAAAAAAAAAAAAAAAAAAAAAAAAAAAAATGGAGCAAAAGGATTTCTATATGCTATTGGGAAACTAAATTTGTACAACTACTTTGGAAAACAGTTTGGTTGTTATCTATTATAGAAATTCATGTATATATGTACCAAGAGACAAGCAAAAATGTTTATGGCATCATTATTTGTAGCTTTCCAAAACTGTGAACTGGCCAGATACCTAGTAACTAGTAAAAGTGGAATGAATAAATTGTGACATATTTATATAGTGGAATACTACACAGTAGTGAAAAATAAATTACTGTTACATGCAACAGCATGAATAAATCTCATAAGTAATGTTCGACAAGAGAAGCTCCACTCAAGAAGTATTCACTTTTCATAATTTCATTAAGATAGTGTGGAAACATAGTTGATATTGAGCCATAGTGTTCAGGACAGTGGTTACCTCTTAGGATAGAACAGGTGGTGACTAGCGGGGGAAGACTTTTTACACAGAATGTGGGACTTTCCCTCACTGGCTGTCTCCAGGATTCCCCTCACATTTTCCAGTGGTTGTGATTTCCATATTGCATTTATTTGTCATGTGTTCATAGTCTCCTCTGGTGTATGACAGTTCCTCCTTCTTTCTTTGTCTTTCTTGGACTTGACACTTTTGAAGAGCCTGTATTACATGTCAGTTATTTTTGGAAAATTCCTCAATTTGGATTTGTTTTTTCTCATGATTGGATTTAATTTGTGCAGATTTTTGGCAATAATGTTATAGATGATGTAGCTATCTTATATGAAATCAGGGATACATGATATTGATGCTAACTTTGATTGGTTAGTTATGTGCCATCAACCAGATTTTTTCACTGTGATGTTGCTGTTTTCCCCTTTGCAGTTAATAAGAATCTTACTGGGAGAACCTTTGAGATTTTGCAAATATCCTGTTTTTCATCATAGTATTCTACATCAATAATTCTTGCCTGCAATGTTTATCTCTGTGGTGTTTGTCTAATAGTGATTTTCTATTTCCATGTTTTTTTCCAATATCTATTAACTGGTTTTCTACTCTAAGGAAGAGCTGTCCCCTCTCCCCTATTTATTTATATCAATGTAGACTCATGGATACTTATTTATTAATGCTTTGCTCTCACTATTTATTTCATTGCTCAAATTGTCCCAGATGTAGCCAGTGAGGTCCTCCTAGTTGTCTTGTATGTTCCTTCAATACACTCCCATAATTTTTTGATCATTTCCTTATTTTCTGGCATCACAAGATATTCCAGCCTCTAATTCTATTTTTCCTATTCCAGAATCGGAATAAGTTATTTTTCCCTGAAGCCCTTGTTTTTTTTTTTTATTGGAAGATGGTATTTAGAAATCAAAATTTGGGCCAGATGCAGTGGTTCATGACTGTAATCTCAGCACTTTGAGAGGCCAAGGTGGACAGATTGCTTGAGGTCAGGAGTTTCAGACCAGCCTGGACAACATGGCAAAACCCCGTCTCTACAAAAAACACAAAAATTAGCCAGGCATGGTGGCACACACCTGTTGTCTCAGCTACTCAGGAGGCTGAGGTGGAAGGATGGCTTGAGGTTGCAGTGAGCCATTGCACTCCAGCCTGGGCAACCAGAGCAAAACACTGTCTAAAAAAAAAAAAAAGAAAAAATGAGGGGCTAGGCATGGTGGTTCACACCTGTAATCTCAGCACTTTGAGAGGCCAAGGCGGGTGGATCACGAGGGAGGTCAGGAGTTCGACACCAGCCTGACCAACATGGTGAAACCGTGTCTCTACGAAAAATACAAAAATTAGCTGGGCATGGTGGTGCATTCCTGTAATCCCAGCTACTCAGGAGGCTGAGGCAGAAGAATTGCTTGAACCTGGGAGGCGGAGGTTGCAGTGAGCCAAGATCTCATGCCACTGCACTTCAGCCTGGGCAACAGAACGAGACTCCATCTCAGAAAAAGAAAAAAGAGATCAAAATTTGGACACTAAATTTGTTTATTCTACTGGATATCATTATTTGTAGTTTCTCTCAGTTCGCAGAGTTGGGAATACATGTGTATGGTTGTCTCCATCTCTGTTATTCATTCATTTCTCCATCCTTCCTTCCATCCATCCATCCATCCATCCATCCATCCGTCCATCCGTCTGTATGTCTATCGCTCTCTACCTATCTACCAATAAATCATGGCCTCATTCAGATACATCTGATTCCAGTCTGACACCACAGGTTCCCTTTGCTTATTTGTCACTTCTTTCTCCTATAGTGAGAAACTTGGCCCTTATTATTCACAGTATATTTATTTAATGTTATTATACACATAAAATATTAATAGTTCTACATTTGTTAGCCCAGACCTTTGTGATCATATAATGTTTAATCTAAATTAGAACAGTTTTGAGAGGGAAAGGGAGCATGTTATTATTATTCAAGAATAATTGGTAGAAACATAGACTTTTAGGGAAACTGGGAAATATGGCTCCCTGTATATGGTACATATTGTACTAATTTATTATCATTACAGTTTATTTTTGTCTTTTCACTTATCTAGCTTTATAAATTTCCTGTTAAGTGATGCAGAAATTATTCTTGAAAACAATGTGTTGAAAGCTATTAATATAGTGACTAGTAATTTATATCCTTAATAGGAAGCATTTTCTGTAATCATAATAGACTGCTTTGGTGAAAATACTGAGTTCCTTTATTGTCAGACGGAACAGAGCAGCATTGCTATTCATTTGTTTTGTCTAGGTTACTTCTGTGAGTTAGAATTGGAATTTCTCAGGTTTCCCTTGAGATTTTATTGCATTTAGTGCTTCAGAATTCTAAGTCTTAAGAAAGAACATTAGTTAAAGAAATACTCATTTAAGCTACTTGTCTGGTGCTTAATAACATTTCCCTGTTAAGGTGGACACACGTTTGCAAAATGGATTTGCTCCTGGGATGAAGCTGGAGGTGGCTGTGAGAACAGATCCTGAAACTTACTGGGTTGCTACCATCATTACTACCTGTGAGCAGTTGCTCCTTCTCCGCTATGATGGCTATGGGGAAGATCGGAGAGCAGATTTCTGGTGTGACATCAGGAAAGCTGATCTCTACCCCATTGGGTGGTGTGAGCAGAATAAGAAGACCCTCGAAGCCCCAGAAGGTAATAAAATACTTCCTATCAAGATGTGACATAAAAAAAATAGAAAACAAGAAAACAACAACAAGAAAAAAAGTTGTGACATGATTTACCGTAAGAAAATTTGCATTGTCCACAGTCTTGATGCTTTCAGTCTCTCGAGCATATAGGTTTACCCAGCTTTTCTAGGTTAGCATTTTGAATGAAAATATTTATAAGGAATAATACACATTTCCCTGTCTTTTGAAATTATTTTATTTGCTCCATAAAGCCTCAGGTTTTTATGATGCTCATCGGGAACATCAGCTGCTTATCATCCTCTCAGACTATGAGGTTCTCTGAGTTTGAGATTTGTAGATCTGGCTGGTTTTTAAGCCCATTGGGCCAGACTGATACGCTGTTGATTTTCTTTTCTGTTTTTATTGTCCTTTCTCCTCATACCCTCAAGCAATGTGGTAACTAGGAGCTCTTAAAATGAACCAACTCAAGCACCATTTCAGAAGGAGAATAAACCAAATTAAGCAGAAGAGAGACAAAGGCAAAAGAAAGAGAAGGGTAAGATAAATGTGGGGAAAGAGAAGAGGACTGCACATTTAAGAAAATACCTGAGTTGGCTGGGCGAGATGGCTCACGTCTATAATCCCAGAACTTTAGGAGGCTGAGGCCAGTGGATCACCTGAGGTCAGGAGTTTGAGACCAACCTGGCCAACACGGCAAAACCCCGTCTCTACTAAAAATACAAAAAAATTTAGCCAGGCATGGTGGCCCACGCCTGTAATCCTAGCACTTTTGGAGGCTGAGGCAGGCAGATCACCAGCTCAAAGGATCGAGACCAGCACCAGCCTGGCCAACATGGTGAAACCCTATCTCTACTAAAAACATAAAAATTATCCGGGTGTGGTGGTGTGCGCCTGTAGTCCCAGCTACTTGGTAGGCGGAGGTAGGAGAATCGCTTGAACCTGGGAGGCAGAGGTTACAGTGAACCGAGATCACACCACTGTACTCCAGTCTGGGGCACAGAGCGAGACTGTCTCAAAAAAAAAAAAAAAATATATATATATATATATATATATCCCTGACTTTTGGTATTTTTCTTTTAATTTCTTACTTTGATGTAATTTCGGATTTATCAAAAAGTTATGAGAATCATATGGAAAATTATTTGAGACTTCCTGCCAAGTTTCTCCAAATGTTGATGTTGACATACATTACATTTATTTTATCTTGTCTCCACTGCTTACGTATGTTCTTTTAATTAACCATGTGAGAGTCTTTTTATTCAAAAATACTGTATGTATTTCTAAAAACAAGGTATTCATGTTACAATAAAATATGAAAATTAGGAAATTAACTTTGCTACAGATAGTATTGAGTTTAATCTACAGATAGTATTCAGTTAATCTACAGATTATATTCATTTTTTAAAAGGGGATCATTATTTAATAAACATGGTCTTATCTTTATATCACTTCCTAGTATTTTTATTTTTATTTTTTTCATGCAGGGTCTTGCTATATCACCCAGGCTGGTTTCGAGTTCTTGGGCTCAAGTGATTATCCTGCCTCAGCCTCCCGAATACCTGGCACCACAGCATAAGCCATCATGCCTGGCCCTTACTCAGTTTTTACCAGCCGTTCCAATAACATTTAAAATAATTCTGTTCTACTTTATTTTTTTGAGACAGGGTCTCTCTCTGTCACCCAGGCTGGAGTGCAGTGGCGTGATCCTAGCTCACTGTGGCCTTGAACTCCTGTGCTCAAGCAATTCTCCCACCTCAGTCCCGCCCAGTAGCTGCATCTACAGGTGTGTGTCAGCACAACCAGCTAATTTTTAAACTTTTTTTTTTTTTGTAGAGACAGAGTTTCACTGTGTTGCCCAGGCCAGTCTTGAAGTCCTGGCCTTAAGTATTCCTCCTTCCAAAGTGTTGGGATTACAGGCATGAACCACCGCACTTGGCCCAATAACTTTTTTTTGAGACAGAGTCTTGCTCTGTCGCCCAGGATGGAGTGCAGTGGCGCAATCTCAGCTCACTGCAACCTCTGTCTCCCGGGTTCAGGCAATTCTCCTGCCTCAGCCTCCCAAGTAGCTGGGATTATAGGCACCCACCACCCTGCCCAGCCAATTTTTTCCATTTTTTCTAGAGACAGGATTTTGCCATGTTGGCCAGGCTGGTCTCAAACTCCTGATCTCAGGTGATCTGCCTGCCTCTGCCTCCCAAAGTACTGGGATTACAGGCGTGAGCCACTGCACCTGGCTAATAACATTTTTTTAAGTAAAGAAAAATCCCAGATCATGCATTACATTCAGTCGTCATGTCTCATAAGTTTCCTATAATATGGAACAGTTCCTGAGGCTTTCGTCTTTTATGACTTTGATATTTTGAAAGGTACAGGCAAGTTTTCCCAATATTCATTCTATCCTGGTCCCAATAATGTTCGCTATGGTCTGTTTCTTTTCCTGGTCCAAGATTCCTATCTAGAATCACATTGCATTTAGTTATAGTGTTTCTCTAGTTTTCTTAACCTTTCTTTATCTTTCTTGAACTTCACATTTTTGAAGAGTACAGCCCATTCATTCAGTCAAATTTCTCACAGTTTGGGCTGATGCTTCCTTACATTCAGGTTGTTCACTTTTGGTAGGAAAAATGCAAAAGCTGTGCCATTCCAGTGCATGACATCAGAAGATACATGCTAATGATTTTTCTTATTACTGGTAAAATTAACTTCAGTTAGGTTCATATACACCAGGTTTTTTCATTGTAAAGGTATTATTTTATGCTTTTTAGTAAGTGTCTTGTTGCAAGATACTTGGAGATTATGAAACTATCCCATTACTCTTCATACTTTCACCCACTATTTTTAGTATCCATTCATAAATTTTATCTGAAACAATTGTTATTCCAGTAATTACCAAGTGGTGTTTTTAAAAACTTCTACATTTCTTAATTGGCTTGCTACTATAGAAAGAGCTTCCCCCTTTCCACCATTTATATATGTAGGTGTATATTTAGCTATGTATACCAGTGTGCACTCATGATTCTGATTTTACTTAATGGGTTATAATCCTTTACTGTCATCATTTCTTTTGATGCTAAAACTGTCCTAGGTTTGGTGAGTGGGTACCCCTTCCAGCTGGCTACTGTGTTCTTTTAATATGTCCCTATTATTCTTTGAGCAGTTTCTTATTTTTTGGCCCAAGAAGCATTTTCCTGTCTCGTCCCTGAAATCAGCCATTTCCCCAAGAAGTCTATTCTTTTAGTGAAGAATGGTATTTAGAGATGAAGATCTGAGTGTTAGGGTTCTGGGATGTCTGTGGGCTTCTCCTTTGTGAAAGTTTTTTACTGCGTGAGAAACAATAGAAGAGGGAGCTCTAGAGACATGAAGCCACCTGGCCTACCATCTCATCCTAAGTATGTAGCAAAATGCATCTCATTTAAATGTAAACAACAGAAAAGGGCTTCAGTTGAATCTTATACAAGATTATTATAGTGAAAAAAGAATAGAAACAACCACAGAAGAGGTAAACATTGTGTCAGATAGAAACATTTCAAAATAAGCCAACAGAAAAGTAGTAATAATCTTAGAAACAGTGAAAAAACTGTAAATTTATAAACATTCAGAAATGAAAGGATTGGAAAAGGGAAGATGTGAAAAGAGAAAACATAGAACTTAGGTAAGAACTGGAAATAAAAGAATATTGGAAATGAAGACTACGTTAAAATGAACACAGGAATGAATCGGGACCATGGATACTGTCGAAAGAGAAAAGATTTTAAAAAAAGGAAAGAAATTTTAAAATAAAAAGCAAATGGAAAGAAAAAGGACTTGAGAAACACCTTATACAGCTAGGTAAAAATTATTTAACCTAGCTAAAGTAGAAGTCCTTAAAGAAGAAAACTGAAGCAATGAAACAATAAAATAATATAAACTATAATTTTGGTGAACTTTGTTTGTTCGTTGAGACAGAGTGCAGTGGTTTTTCTTGGCTTTTTGCAACCTCTGCCTCCTGGGTTTAAGCAGTTCTCCCTTAGCCTCCCTAGTAACTGGGACTACAGGCACACACCACCACGCCCAGCTAATTTTTGTATTTTTTTAGTAGAGAGGGGCTTTCACCATGTTGGCCAGGCTGGTCTTAACACCTGACCTCAAGTGATATGTCTGCCTGAGCCTCCCAAAGTGCTGGGATTACAGGTGTAATCCAGCTACCATGCTGGATCATAATTCAGGTAAACCGTGTAGAACTAAAGGAGGACTTGTAATACATACTGAGAGAGATTACTGTGTGTGTAGGAAGGTCAAATGAGGGCAGCTACATCAAAATGTGTTCTAATGAAAGTAATGAATTTTAAAGCAAAAATTAATAGCTTGGCTATTTAGGAAAAAAAGACCAAGTCTCTTATAAAGGAAGGAAAATAAGATTTTAATCAGAGTTATTAATAATGGTTTATGCCAAAAGACAATGGAATGTAATATATTTAAGAAATTTAATGAAAGAAAATATGAGACAAGGATTTCATAGGTAGCCAAGCTGAACTTCAGATATAACGGCTGTATGCAAACTGTTTTGAACAGATAAGGAGTCAAGTAATATTGTTTCCATGAGCCCTTTCTAAGGAGTCCACAGGGAATGAGCTTCAGACAACCAAATTAATGAGGTAATATTAGCATGTGAAATGGTAGTGAAATATCAAATAAATGTATCAAATATATGTATAACTATAGAACTTAAACTAAATGATGGTTGAAAGGGAGACGCTATGGTATATAATATTTATATGCCATATACATGCTCTGAAAATGTAGTTACAGTATTACTATAAAAAATATGGGACAAGAATGAGGAAAATGTGAATAATAGTATAAGCCCACTCATTGTCTTTAAAAAAAAAAAAAAAAGCTTTATTGCCATGTAATTTTACGATTTAACTTTTAAGTATTAACTGGGAGTAAAAGGATATTACCTGAAATGAGATGCTCCAGGAGAGGAAACAAAGGGCTTATAGCTAACTTCAGTATTGTTTATGAAAGCAACAACAACAACAAAATAGAAAGTAGTCCAAAAATAGAAAGGACTAAAAGTGTTATTAAAGGTTATCAGCACAAAAATATGAACCTTTCTATGTGCCAAAAGAGACTTAGAAACTATAGGCCGTGGTGGCTCACGCCTGTAATCCCAGCACTTTGGGAGGCTGAGGCGGGCTGATCACAAGGTCAGGAGATTGAGACCATCCTGGCCAACATGGAGAAACCCCGTCTCTACTAAAAATACAAAAAATTAGCCGAGTGTGGTGGCATACGTCTGTAGTCCTAGCTACTCTGGAGGCTGAGGCAGGAGAATCACTTGAATCTGGGAGGTGGAGGTTGCAGTGAACCGAGATCACACCACTGGACTCAAGCCTGGGCAACAGAGTGAGACTCCATCTCAAAAAAAAAAAAGAGAGAGAGAAACTATATGTTTCTACTACAGGGTAGATCACATAGTAAAAAAAAAAAACTACATACACACAAATTATGTAACATTTAACAATATGATGAAATTGAGGCCTTGCATATTAATAATATCAATAAGTGTTAATGGACTTACTCTTCTAATAGAAGTAAACAAATAAATTCGATTGCCTTATAAAGCAAAATCCATTCTTGTCCTCATACAGGAGACATACCTAAGCAGAGAGACTCCAAAAGGGTAAAAATAAAAGGTAGACAAAGTTGTACACACACATAACTGCCGATAGAAAAGATAGCTGACAAAGGTACTTTGTAAGAAAAGCAGCTATAGGCAGCAATAAACAGAAAGGAGGAGTGCTTACACACAGCCAAGGAGTAGGCTACAGGATATGTTACTGTAAGAAAAATGTGTACAGACTTGAGGAGGAAGAGAGCGGAAGGGTATGATGATACGAATGTGTGTGTATGTCAACTTATTTTTTTCAAAATAAAAGAATCATTTAGAAAAGTTATGGGAAAAGAAGGGAGTAAAATGAAGGAGATAGGGATAGAAGCTAAATTTTATGAAAGTACCTTATTTTATTTTGTAGATTTGACTTTTGAACCATGTAAATGTGTAACTAGAAAGCAAAATTAAATGTTTAGAAAGCAATTTCTTAAAAACAAAAACAAAATCAATGAAACCTAACTGTGTATGTAGTTTTTGGGATAAGCACACAAAGAGGAATTATTTCAGTGACTTTAAAATACAGTAAAATGTGAAAGTACATTTCACATTTTATGTATCCCCAGTTACAGATACATACTCTAAAGATAACGATAACAAAAAAACGCAAAGAAAAGCTCTTAACCTATTTTTAGTGATCCTATGGTTGGTGGTAGATTTGATGTTGTTACTTTGAAATAGTTGTTTGTATATTGCAGGCAAAGCAAATAAATGGTGAAATGTGTAATTGAGAACTAGGATTTTCAGCATGATAGAAAGGAAATAGAGCTTAGATGGATGAGTTAAATAAAAGCACTATCTTTCTGAATTTGTTTTGGAAGTATCGTGATGGAATTTATCCTGAAAAGAAGAAGTGCATTAATTCTAGACACTGAAAAGGCCAAGAAACAACCCAGTGAAAATGAGCACTCCGCGTCTCTAAACACCATTTCCATGGAAATAAACTGGGGCTTCTTGCAGAAGTAGCTGAGTCTGAGTCCTGCACTGGGACAGACAATTTCCTAGACGAGCCTGGAACATCATGTCCTATCAAAAAGCAAAACAGTTATCCGTGGCTCTTTACTAGTGTCATGCCAAAAGGACTTAGAGCCAGCCTGAAGAGACTGCCTCTGGTTGAGGAGTGCCAGTAAGGACAACAGCTGTAATGGCTTGAAATATGTCTGTTTTAATGTATGACTTCATAGTGAAATTTTGAAACAAAACCCTCATTAGTCACTCTTGGAAGTTGCCTGTGAACCAACTGTTTTATTTTAAAGGGTGTTAAATATAGGGAAAGAGTAAAAACAATCAAGTATTTGTTCGGCCTTCTTTCTGTGAACTCTACCTCAGTGTAATCAAATAATTGATGAAGAAAAGTTTTTCTTTAGAGAAGTTCTTTGGTTAGTAAATTAAGAAGGAATAATAGAATTAGAATATCACCATTTGGAGCCCCTAACGAATCAGTGCATCTATGTAGTGACCATTAAAAGCTGCTAGTGTTGCCGGGCGCGGTGGCTCAAGCCTGTAATCCCAGCACTTTGGGAGGCCGAGGCGGGTGGATCACGAGGTCAAGAGATCGAGACCATCCTGGTCAACATGGTGAAACCCCGTCTCTACTAAAAATACAAAAAATTAGCTGGGCATGGTGGTGCGTGCCTGTAATCCCAGCTACTCAGGAAGCTGAGGCAGGAGAATTGCCTGAACCCAGGAGGCGGAGGTTGCGGTGAGCCGAGATCGCGCCATTGCACTCCAGCCTGGGTAACAAGAGCGAGACTCCGTCTCAAAAAAAAAAAAAAAAAAAAAAAAAAAGCTGCTAGTGTCACAGAGGGAGAGACAGCCAGACAGTATGTGCCTCTTCATGTTCTTAATGGAAGGGTATCACTTATTCCACTTGTGAAGTATTCTTTTGCCCTCACCACCCCCGCCCCAAAATCTAACCTGAATTTGATCAAGCCTCTAACTCTGAATACTGATTTATGGCAAATACAGGGAACAGTAGAACAACTGGTCACCACAGGGACGCAACCAAGGAAATCAGACTCTAAAAAATATTCCACAGAGGACAAAGGCCAAGTCTCAACAAATGTGCAGTAAAAAAAAAGAGAGAGTAGGGGCAAGGGAGGGGAGGAAGGAGAAGAAGGAGACCTTTGCAATGTGTGCATCTCATTTGGGTCCTGATGTAATCAAACAAATTGACAAAAACCATTTATGAGACAATTGGGGAAATTTGAACACAGACTGGATATTTGACATTAAGGAATTATTGTTAATTTTTTAAAGATGTGATGATATTGTTATTGTGGCATTTTAAGAAAATATTTTCTGCCGGGTACAGTGGCTTATTCCTGTAATCCCAGCACTTTGGGAGACTGAGGCAGGCAGATCATGAAGTCAGGTGTTCAAGACCAGCCTGGCCAAAATAGTGAAACCCCATCTCTACTAAAAATAAAAAAAATTAGCCGGGCATGGCGGTGGGTGCCTGTAATCACAGCTACTTGGGAGGCTGAGGCAGGAGAATAGCTTGAACCCAGGAGGCAGAGTTTGCAGTGAGCTGAGATCACACTATTGCACTCCACCCAGAGCAACAGTGGAGACTCCATCTCAAAAAAAAAAAAAAAAAAAGAAAATATTTTCTTTTAGAAATATGTACTGAAATATATATATGGATGAAATTATATGCTATCTGGAATTGGCTTCTAACTGATCTTTGGTTGGGCATGGGTGGAGTGTGAGGGTTTAAGCCAGGAATTGGCAAATTATCTGTAAAGGGCCAGATAGTAAATACTTTAGGCTTTACTAGTCATACAATCTCTGTCAAAGCTACTAAAACCCTACCTTTGTAGTGTGAAAGCAGCCATAGACAATATGTAAACAAATGGGTATGGCCAAGCTCCAGTAAAACTTTATTTGCAAAAATAGACAGCTGGCTGGATTAAGCCCACGGGTTGTAGTTTGTGACTTCTGGTTTCAATGAAACAGAATGGCTATGGGGTGACAGTTGTTGATGCCAGGGCACATAGGATTCATTAGACCTTTTTTCTTTTTGTGTGTTTGAAAATGTCCATCATAAAAAAATAAAGTAAGTACCTTTTGGACGAAGTTATAGGAACAGGTAGTTGGGCCTATTCTCTTTGTTTTGTATACAACTCAATAAACTAACCAGAAAGTAGCTCTATCTAGAGAAGCATTTTTGGTTTCATTTTGTTTTATCTTTTCAAGCTCTCAAAGAAGCAGTATGTTGGACTCTTAGATCTTAAAATGAGAAATACTTCTAAACCATCTCCACTGGTTCAGTTTCCTTGTGTTCTGTTGGTTGGCATTTTGAGTAATCAATCATTTATTTCCTCGTCTAGGCATCAGAGATAAAGTATCTGACCGGGATGCATTTCTGCGGCAGACCTTGATAGGAGCATGTAGTCCTCCTGTTCCACTGCTAGAGGGCGTGAGTATTACCACATGCCACATCGGCATGGAAAACCCATCTGATCTTTTAAAGAATCTTAAAATTGGTTGCTTATTTACCACTCTGAAGCAAATAAACATTATTATTAGAGACATAGGCATAGGTATTGGGAAGTTTAAGCTTACCCTGAGAGGTTGCAAACTGGTTGCTTGCTTAGTGCCTAAATATTTCCTGAATTAATTGCTAACATATAGAAAATCTAATTTCCCAGGTTCTTTTACACAGTTGGAAAATGGGACCTTCCGAGGGCTTTTACTCTGAAATTGAGCAGGGTTCGATTCTACTTCAGGGTAGACATTTGTAACTCCGATATCACGTGACTGGAGAACCTCCCCTGCCCACCTTTTTTTTTTTTTTTTTGGCTCAGAAGACATTGGACCTATTGTACTCCTGCCTTCCACCTGCTTTCAGCAGTCCTTTTAAATCAGTGTAGCTTTTGAGCTTGTTAGTGAATATAGATCTCTTGATTTTGTGAAATGGATTTATTGGTTATGACATTTCTGAGTTGTATCTTGCCACTTTCTGTCATACTGGTAAAATTATTTGTGGCATATGTGAAATGCAATGTATGGAGGTTCCCATCCCTCTACATCCTTGCCAACACTTGTTATCTTTTTTGTTATAGCTGACTTGGTATGAAATGATGGCTCATTTTGATTTATATTTCTCTAATGGCTGTTGATGTTGAGTGTGGTTTTTTGTGCTTATGGGCCATTTCTGTATCCTTTTTTGGAGACACTTCTTTACCCATTTTTAAATTGGGTTGTCTTTTTATTATTGAGTTGAATGTATTATTATACATTCTGGATACAAGTACAGATTAGATACATAGTTTGAAAAAATTTTTCCCATTCTGTGGCTTGTCTTTTTATTGTTTGCAGCATAAACATTTTTTATTTTGATGTAATCCAATTTATCTATTTTTTTCTTTTTTGCTTGCGCTTTTTTTTTTTTTTTTTTAAATCATATTTAAGAAGGCTTTGCTTAACCCAAGGTCAAGAAGATTTACTCCTCGATTTTCTAAGAGTTTTATGGTTTTAGGCCTTACATTTACTTCTGTGATCCATTCACATTCCCTTTTAAATTTGATTGGTGAATCCTCTATTTCAAACTAGTTTTTGTTTTTTATACTCTGACTCATTTATTTACGCTTAGCCAGAGCCTGACATGTACTAAACACTCAGTAACATTTGAATGAATGAATGGACAAACTATTCTGCTCTGCATTGACCATGACTCTGCCATGCTGACTTTTACTCTGAATCTCTTCCTCCATTTGTTCATATGTTCTTTTGAATATCTGGATATGTAAGTGTCATAGAGCAGTTTTTACTAGGAAAAAATATAAGGTTGTGTATTAAAAATGGTTAAGTGTTAACTTCATAGTGAATTTCTTTTCTTTATTGTAGTTTTTAATATACTTCTAGATAATGAGAGTTAAACTTTTCCTTTCCATCATTGTAATCAAAGCTTTTACTGTGTTCATTTGAACATTGTTATGAAATGAATAAAAAACCAGAAACAACTGAAATACCATCTGTAGGTAACTGCATAAATAATTGCCCATTTGCAATGCATAAATATAAAACGTGGAAGATTTATATATGCTATTGTAGAAAGATACCTATCATGTACTAAGTGAAAAACAAATCAAAAAACAGTATGCAGTGCTTTCATTTCTGAAAAATAGGAACAGACAGACTGGTAGAGGTGGACATTGACTTGTATGTGGAAAAAGAGTGTATGCCAAAGTATTATTATGGTTCTTTATTTGAGGTGGGATTTTACAGGACTTTGACTTTTGTCATGTTTGATTTTTTTTTCTTTAATGATGATGATATTTTGATATTTGTGTGTTTTTTGTTGTTGTTTCTGTTTTTTCTTATGATGGAGTCTCACTCTGTTGCCTAGGCTGGAGTGCAGTGACATGATCTTGGCCACTGGGTTCAAGTGATTCTCCTGCCTCAGCCTCCCGAGTAGCTTGGACTACAAGTGCCCACCACCATGCCCAGCTAATTTTTGTATTTTCAGTAGAGATGAGGTTTCACCATGTTGGCCAGGCTGGTTTGAACTCCTGACCTCAAGTGATCTGCCCACCTTAGCCTCGCAAAGTGCTGGGAGTACAAGTGTGAGCCACCATGTCTGGCCCATATTTGTTTTATAATAGACAAAGTAATGATGATATTTTTAAAATTCTTACTAAATGAAAGTATATAACATAGTCCTAGAGATAGAAATGTGTTAGAGTAATTTTGCTGCATTATAGATAGATTTTCTTTAAAATAAACATTTTCATATCACCTAGAAATAACACTGTAAGAGGCTTGCATGATGGTAGACAATTTAATGTCAGTGGCTTTTGAATGGGTATAAAATACCAAGGCTGGTTTGAGATCATTTAGAAGTTGGCTTTTCAAAAATATTTTGTTAATTTCCCCTACTGAATTGTTTCACTTTTTAATCCTACAGCTCCGTAATGGGAGGAATCCTTTAGATCTCATTGCTCCAGGATCCAGATTAGAATGTCAGGCTTTCCAGGACTCTTTAAGCACTTGGATTGTTACTGTAGTAGAAAACATCGGGGGAAGGCTGAAGCTACGTTATGAAGGACTTGAAAGTTCTGACAATTATGAACATTGGTTGTATTACTTGGATCCGTTTCTTCATCACGTTGGTTGGGCTGCTCAACAGGGTTATGAACTTCAACCCCCTTCAGGTGAAGAGTACTGGAACATTTTTCTTCTGTGACATTAACATGCTATGTTATTAATATCTATGAGGCTAAAAAATATATTATTCTGCATATTATGAAAACCTTTGTTCTCATAATAGAGCTATTAGAAAGTAGTTTATATGGAGTGGTTAAAAAAATGCCTATTTTTCTTTTTTTGTTTTTTGTTTTTTGTTTTTCTGGCATTTGTTTGTTTGAGACAGAGTCTTGCTCTGTTGCCCAGACTGGAGTGCAATGTTGTGATCTTGGCTCACTGCAACCTCCACCCTCTGGGTTCAAGCAATTCTTGTGTCTCAGCTTCCCCAGTAGCTAGGATTACAGGCACCTACCACCATGCCCAGCTAATTTTTGTATTTTTAGGAGAGACAGAATTTCACCATGTTGGCCAGGCTATACTAGAACGCTTGACCTCAAGTGATCCATCCACCTTGGCCTCTGAAAGTACTGGGATTGCAGGCGTGAGCCACCGCACCTAGACAAGTGCCTATTTTTCTTTTGTTTTTATTGCTTTTATAATTTGCCACACATATTGATATACCTCAGAGACTTCTGTCCCAACCCATACTGACCCTTTACCAAGATAATATTAAGAAAAATTTATTTAGGGAGCATTTAGCTAGGTATATAGAAAGTTGGGTCACAGCAAATTGTTGATTAAAAGAAATACCAATAATATTGGTGTTTCAGAAGTTACTGTTTACATCAATTTGCATTTATTATTATGTGCCCCAATTTGGATGTTATATTACAATTTTATGGATTCCAGCAATCCTTATGATCTTACTGTAGGTATTTTCATAAAACCAAGCAATCCAGGCTCTGTATAAAGCAAAGTACTGAAGTTAAGGTGCAAGTTGCTTGAGCGTAGAGGGATATAAGTGGGCTTGAACCATTTTCTAGTACCAGTGGAAAGTGACTTTTTTTATTTATATGAATGCTTTCAGGACAAGTAAAAAGTATAAGTTTTCTCATCATCTAAAGCATGTTAACTTGTTTTATTAAAGCCATCAGACATCTAAAAAATGAAGATGAGTGGCAAGAGATTTTGGCTAAAGTGAAAGAGGAAGAGGAAGAGCCATTACCATCTTACTTATTTAAGGTAAAAACCAAACATGTGATGGATTGGTATTGCTCCCATTAGAGAAGAGTAAAGCAGCTCAGGGAGGTGAAAGCATAAAGTAGCCCCTGTAATCGGTAAGATGGCGCCTGAAGGAGGAGGAGGGGTTAAGGCTAGACTGATAATCATCCTTGTTTTCTTCCAACAGTTGTCTAGATTTTCTCCCCAAGTTCTCCTAAAATAGTTTGAATCTTTTCTATCCTTAACTACATAGCCCTAACTTATAAAATAAATTTGTTTTTTCCTCCAGATATTTCTTGTCTTTGAATGTAGAGAGTAGAAGCACTTTCTGTGTTTTGTTTTTTCCTGGATAGATTTTTCCAGAGAAGGAAATTATATTGGCTGGTTTTACACGTTAAAAAAAGAAGAAAACTATAGGATTTACCAGAAGCTGGACAGTTCTATTAATCACAGTAGGATTCAGCTACATGTGAGTGTAAAATTTATACAGATCCAATATTTTCATCCCCTTTTGGCGTCTCCGTTTCAGGACAAACAAGTTATTGGCATTCATGCATTCTCTGTAAACATGAAATTGGAAGCTGTGGACCCCTGGTCTCCTTTTGCGATCTCTCCTGCTACAGTTGTTAAGGTAAAATGGGGATAACTCTGTTGGTAAAAATCCCTGTCAAGGTGACTGGTTTAGGAAATTGGTAGTGTTTTGATCTTTAAGCTGTATTAATCCATTTTTTCTTCTAAACTGTGCAGCTAGAATTACTTCTGTGCACGTTTTGTATTTGTTCAGTTTGCTGTGGCCCATTCCTTCTTCAGAGTTTGGTAGCCCTAGCCAAAGCAGACTTGGGCCTGGGTACTAGGCTAGTGGGGGGTACATTCTTTGGGACAGGCCTAGCTATATATAAGTAAAGGAGATTTAACTCCTTTAGGAGGCAAGGGTATCTATAAAGTTGGAGGCAGGCAGTGTCATCAGCGTCTAACCAGATCAGAGCTCGTTGGAATGAGGAGATGAGTGGGGATCATGCAATCAGTGTTAAAAGTTTTGGCACTGGACTGGCTGTAGCCATGTATTCCAGATTCAGATTTAATCTTTTGGAAGACTGACAGGAAGTAACCACAAGAACTGAGCAGGTTATCAAAGCCCTGCTCAGTCACTACAACAGAGACATTGGTGAGAGAATTTCAGTTTCCAGCTAGAGCAAAAGCACATTTACTGAAAATAGAAGCCAAGTTGAATGTGACTAGAGGAATAGTTGCTTGGATGCTAAATCATCTTACCTATTGAAATTTAAGTTTTCTCTGTCTTAGAAGAAGATTATTCTCAAAGCAAGGAGGGATTCTGAGCCTGCAAGTGGGATCAGAAGGCCCTATCTAGAGTCTGAAGGGAGGGCTGGGAGGAAACCAGAGGAGGTTCATAAAGTGTTCTCTTTGGCATTTGAAACTGGGCTAGGATTTGAAATACTAATACATAGTAGCATAAGTTTAAACTAAGCTCCTCACTAAGCTTAAGCTATATTTTGTTTGGAGCCCACCTACATGGGTTTGGATCCAGGTTTTGCTTCTTCCTCGTTTTGTAATGTAGGGCAAGTTATTTAACCTCTGTTTGAACTTATTCTCCTTATCTGTGAAATGGAGCTGTTAATGATACTTGGGTCAGCTGTGGTGGCTCATGCCTGTAATTCAGCACTTTGGGAGGCTGAGGCAGGAGGATCGCTTGAGGCCAGGAGTTTAAGACTGGCCTGGGCAATATAGCAAGACCCCATCTCTACAAAAATTAAAAAATTAGCTGGGTGTGGTGGTGCATGCCTGTTGTCCCAGCTACTCGGAGCGGAGGGGCTGAAGTGGGAGGATCAGCTGAGTCCAGGAAGTCAGGACTGCAGTGCTTCAGTGAGATACGTTCATGCCGCTGCACTCCAGCCTGGGTAATAGAGCAAGAATCTGTTTTAAAAAAAAATTTTTTTATATGTATATATGTGTGTATGTATATATATATATATATATATATAATGATACCTCATTAGATTATTAAGATTAAAACTGAATTGATACATGAAAAGCATTTAATTAAAACAGTAATTGTATGTTTTTGTATTCTGTAACACAGAGCTAACATTTATGAAATGTTTAGTATTAATACCCGGCATGACTATGAGCTTTTGTAATGTGTTTGGCTGTGCCAAGGAAAAAGCACATATATCTGTGTGCTTTTGTCTATTTCGTCTATTAATTGCATGTATAGGTTTTTGATGAGAAGTACTTTCTGGTGGAAATGGATGACTTGCGACCTGAGAACCACGCCCGGCGATCCTTTGTGTGCCATGCCGACAGTCCTGGCATTTTCCCCGTGCAGTGGAGTCTGAAGAATGGCCTAAACATCAGCCCCCCTCCAGGTGCACATTCGCTCTCTTCCGAATTGTTACTTGAGAGTTTTTCCTTGAAATAAGACATGTCAAATGGCATTCCCTAGATCTTTCGTTCCTCTCCTCATGTCCCAGCCTGTTCCAATGTTTTTAGGGTCTGAGACAAGTATAAGAAAAGGTCTAGATTCCATATATTTACATGTTTGAAAGTTATACATTGAGCTAAAGAACTGTTAAAGAGAGTGTGTTCTGTCTATCCTCTGACTTTGATATCGATGTCCTCATAACCCTCTAGAAGGCCAGGTTCCAACCTGGGTTCTGTGCTGGCTCCTTAGTCCCTTTTATGTCTGTTAGGGGTGACAAAGAAGTGGGCTTGGATTTACAGTGAGCATTAGGGGGCTGGTTTTTGAGAAGAGGCCATAGACCCAGAGTCAGAAGGTAGATTACTGATTATCTTTAGGTGTCTGGGCCTTATCATGGACAGGACTTTTTAGAGAGATGTTTATGGTAAAGAGTAGGATTCGAGCAGTAGGTAGGAAAATAAAAGCTCATTTTCCTGATATTTGCAGCTTTGCAAAATACAGTCTTTGATCCATTAATCCAGGCTCTTAATTAATGGGTTAGTTGAGCTTCACTGAAATATTTAATATTTTTAAACTTAGAGAATCTAGAAGTGTTAGATGTTTATCTGATTTTTTAATATTAGCAAATCAGATTATCTGATTGGCAGTCTATGTATATGTTATTAGTAGGTTTTCAGTAAAGCATAGCATCACTTTCTAAATGGTGACTGCTGCAACAATGGGCTAGAGATACTCTTTCTTGTTAACAAGGGTCATAAACTCAGAACCTTTTGTCTTTCCTTCAGCCTTTATTCATCCAACAAACATTTATGTAATGTTTTCTATAACCCAGGCATTCACCTTGTCCCCGGGGAGAGTGATAAGCTTAGTGAATACAGCCCAGTCCCTTTAAGGAACAAATAGGGGAAATATTAATAGAACTGCCTAGATTCTCCTCAATCAGTGAACCCAGCAGATGAGTGCCTGGTTGAAGGGTGTGGTGTGGAACAGCCACAGAAGGAAGTTTTTGCTTTGCAGGAAGGCTCTGGATATCCCAAGTTCTTTATTCTGCTTGCCTCCTCTATGTGAAAAAGAAGAAACAATTGTTAAAAATACTGAAGCTTTCAGTGTTATTATAGACAAGTCAACTGTGTCTTTGTAAACAGAGAGAAGGTAATAGATTACGTAACTGATCATGGCAGAAAATGTACTGTCAGGAATTGAGGTGGGGGCAAAGGGAGAACTTGGTGCCAGTCTCAGGTGGGCAGGGACTGTTAGGCTGTCAGATGGCATAGACTTGAGTAGCCTATTTTTTTTTTTTTTTCCTGTGAGACATTAAGCTATCTGGAGGCTGAAAGCAACTCAGGCACAGTAGGCAGTTGGGCCTCACTCAGCTCTTTGCATGCAGATGGTGCTGAGACAGCAGCAGCTTGGAGATGCTTCCGTCAAGAACCTTGGTAGACTTAAGTGGGGCATTAAGCCTGTTTTTTCTGAAATAAACACATGATTCAGATTATATAGGCATTGATATTCTATAATATATGAATCTGAAAATGACAAGAGCATTTGTATCAGTGATATCTGAGACACATTTCAGGAAATAGCTTTATCAAGAAAAAAGTCTTTGTGTTTGCAGATTAACCAGTACTGTTTGCTGTCTCTTTTCCTTAAGAGCCTGAGTCCCTTTAATTGACAGGAAGAGTGGATTTATATATACAAATCAAATCCAGTCATAACTGTCTTAAATTATTTTGGTAAATTACCAGCTACTAATCATGTAAAATAGTGTTCAAAATAAATGGCTAGTTTGAAATTTGAAAATTTAAAATGATCGAAGTTGTCAAACTAGCAGCATTGGAAGTTGAGTGGACCTTTGGAGAGTGGTGAAGCCAGGCAAGCGTGTGCAGTGTGGTGATGTAAATCATCGTTCCTTTGTCCCCACCTAGGCTACCCGAGCCAGGACTTTGACTGGGCTGACTACCTCAAACAGTGTGGTGCTGAAGCTGCTCCCCAGAGGTGCTTCCCTCCGGTGAGGACCTCGACGGCCTCATGGCCACTGTGCGGGGCTGCAGGGACTGCTGTGCTTCCCTTGCTTTCTTCCATGGTTACTCCTCTGAAGATAATCATCTCGCTCAATGCAGATGAGCACAGTGGTGATTGTAATTGCATGGTCCAAAGGAAAATACATTTACTGCAGACATGAATCAGTTAGTTTGCTAATTAAGTTAGTTTTACAACTAACTAGTTTTTGTAGCTAGAATCATGTAAATTTGAAAATGTATGATTATTTTTCATGATTCAGTAATAGGAGAAACTGTTGAAATATTAAGTGGAGAAAAATTGTTAAGCTTATTTAAAAATATTTCCTCTCAAAAAATATATATATATATTTCTTCTCTCCAAATAATACATGCATGTGGTTTAAAAAGCCATGTAGCAGTAATAGGCTTAGAAGGTAGAAGAACAGTCCCCGCCCTACCCCTTTTCACACTCTTCCTTCCCAGAAGTAACTACTTCCTGTTCTCACTGTAATTCTGGTATTTGTATTTCTTCATTTTCAAAATAAAATGCCTCTATCTTTTCAGTCATTTATTTTAGACATCTGTTGGTTTTAATTTTAAAGCTTTGACTTTATTAAAACAAATTAAATTCACCCTGTCTTATGGTGCCGAGTCTATTGGTTGTATATTCTGATAAATGAGAATTTAGCTATTTTTTATTACCTTTTCTCTCTGTCTTACCCAGTTCTTCCTCCTTTAGAGTTATGTTAGAATTTTTGGTTAAATATGAAATGAATTTTTACATTATAATATGCATTCAGATATTACTCACAGCTGAGTACTGCAGTGTTTTGTTTTGTTTTCAGACAGAGTCTTGCTCTCTCACCCAGGCTGGAGTGCAGTGGTGTGATCTCAGCTCACTATAACCTCTACCTCCTGGGTTCAAGCTATTCTCCTGGCCTCTGCCTTCCATGTAGCTGGAATTACAGGTGCCCACCACCACACCCGCCTAATTTTCGTTTTTATAGTAGAGACGAGGTTTCACCATGTTGGCCAGGCTGGTTTGGAACTCCTGACCTCAAGTGATCCACCAACCTTAGCCTCCCAAAGTGCTGGGATTATGGGTGTGAACCACCACACCTGGCACTGCAGTATTTTATGCTTGTTTCTTTTTTAAAAAAAATTATCCTCAATAATGATTGCCTTGTTTTTAATTTACTTAATTTTCTTTTATCTGTTGCTGTTTCTTTTCACACCTCCCAGTAGTCTCACATCAGGAAATCTGTCATTCCTAACACTTTTGTTGAAGAGACATCCCTCTTAGCACCCTCCACTCTCTCTCTCTCTGGATGGGTTGCTCTTTAGGCTTGCCATTTTTGTTTTTGTTGTTTTTTTTTTTGAGACAGAGTTTTGCTCTTGTCACCCAGGTTGGAGTATAGTGGTGCAATCTCGGCTCACTGCAACCTCCACCTTCCAGGTTCAGTCAATTTTCCTGCCTCACCCTCCTGAGTAGCTGGGATTATAGGCGACCCCACCATGCCTGGCTAATTTTTGTATTTTTAGTAGATATGGGGTTTTGCCATGTTGCCCAGGCTGATCTCAAACTCCTGACCTCAAGTGATCCTCCCGCCTCAGCCTCCCAAAGTGCTGGGATTACAAGTATGAGCTGCTGTGCTCGGCCTCACCATGTGGTTTTAATCATGGAAATGCCCTTGTCACCCAGGGAATTGCCCACTCCCCTTTTGTATGATTTGGAGTCCCCTGTTTTGTAGAGCTCTCATGGCTTCTGCTTTCTTGGTTTCCTTCCTTGTTTTGATGGATCCTTACTCTCAGTAGCTTCTTGTAAGAGTACAAGGGAGGTAAATTTTTGTTGACACTGTATATTTGAAAATGCCTTCACTAACTTGATTCACAGTTTGGCTCAATGTGGAAGTTATTTTACTTGAGAATTCTGAAAACATTGCTCAGTTTTCTGATTTCTAGTGTTACTGTCAAGAAGCTAAAAGCTATAAAGCTATTCTTATTTTTTATCTTTTGTAGATGACCTGCTTTCCCCACCCCCCCTCTCTGGAAGGTTGTAGAACCACTTTTCACAGTGATGAATCTTGGTGTGAGCCTGTTTTCATCGCTGTGCTGGGTTCTTAGTGGGCACTTTCTCTCTGGACATTCATACCTTTCTGTGTTGGGAAATTTTCTTGAATCACTTCTTTGATTTCCTTCCTTCCATTTTGTCTCTTTTCTCTTTCTTGAAGTTCTTTTATTTGGTTGTTGGCCCTCTGGATCAAAACCTCTGCCTTTCTTACCTTTTTATCTCCTGTTTTATGTTTCTTAGTCTTTTTGCTTTGTTTTCTGAAAGATTTCCTGAACTTTGTCTTTCAGCCTGCCTTTTGAGTTTTTAATTTTTGACACCATTTTTTTTATTTTCTGGAACTCTGAGTAGTTCTTTATTGTTAATATCATACTATTCTTGCTCTAAGGATGCGATAGTTTTTGTTATCTCTCAAAGGATGTTAATTAACACCCCTAATCCATCCCACTCCTCTGCCTTTTGGGAAGTTTTCTTCTTGTATAATCACTGCTTTTTCCAAGTTGCTTGTCTGTTTTGGTCTCTAACTTTCATCTTTTTAGGTATCTGGTAATTGTCAGTTGTTGCTATATTTAAGAATGGGTGACTAAAAGGAAAAACTGATTGGAAGCTCTGAGCAGGTAGATGGAACTTTTCAACCTTGAATTTTCCTGTAGGGTGGAATCTGGTTGGCCATTTGTTGGAGAAACCTGAATCCATATCATTATGTGTTCCTTCTTGGGGTTTTCCTATCACCATAAGAAGTGTCTTCTAGTCCCCTGTCTGGTGGGTAGAGGCTGAGGGCTGGGCCTCTCAGCAATCTATAGGCTAACCACTATTTTTGTCATGACATGCATGCCCTCAGCAGCTCCTTGTGTCCCCTTGCCTAGGCATCTTCTGTTTTACCCTGTTCAGAAGATAAACCTCACCTTCTGTAGGGGAGAGGAAGGGATGCTTTCACTGGTGCATGGAGTCGAGGAGCCAATGGCATGTCCTAAATGTTTCTTAAATGTTTTCAACAGATTCTCCTTGTTTTGACTATTTCTCCTCTACCTCCAGTTGCCTAGACCCTGGTTCTTCCAGTTCTTAGCTTTCTTTACTGCCAGCTTAGATTCACCTTTCTTTAACTTAGTTTCTAGACCCTGTTCTAAATTTTAGCTTATAAAATGTTGTTTTCTCTCCTGTTATATCCATCTTAAGATAGATGTTAAGTTTTTGTCTTCCAAAACAGAAGCAAACAAAAAACAACTTTAGTTTTTAAGTTAGATGTCAGAAGAGAAAACACTCAAATGTAAATGTTCAGTTGTCCATTTTGACTCGGATGCTGGATATTTTTCTGTTTTAAATGGCCCTTTGCCACTGTTGATAAGCATTCTTTATCCTGAATACCTTTTATGATACACATACAAGTATGAACCAGGCAGTTTGTGGTATGATAGGGTGCTTTATATGAGGGGAAGTGAGTCAACAGTGTTGATAGCCACTTGGTTCAGGACATAGAGCCTTAAAGACTGTATTTCATTGATACCTTGTAATAGTACAGTCAGATAGGAATTCTCAGCCTCATCTGACAGGTGAAGAAACTGAGGCAAAAAGAGATTTATACAGCTTGAGCAAGGTCCTACAGGTAGCAGTAATGCAGGAATATCTGACCTCAAAGAGCATGCTTCCTATAACACCAAGAAAGGCAGACATTTTCCTTTTGCTTCATTAAAAAGCAAAACAGTGCAAAATAGATTTATATATTTGAATTAAACTTAGGAGTTAAATACTACTTGGAAAAGGTTTTCTAGCTGAGCACATGAGTTAATACTGTGTTAATCCAGTAAATGGATTTGATACATTCATTTTCTAGTTAATTTCTGAGCACGAATTTAAGGAGAACATGAAGCTTGAGGCGGTGAACCCCCTTCTCCCTGATGAAGTGTGTGTTGCTACCATCACTGCAGTGAGAGGCTCCTACCTATGGCTCCAGCTGGAGGGTGAGTACCAGCTCCAGAAGCCACTTCCCTTTGATCTTTCCGTTTGCTCCTGTAATGTGGCCTGTTAAACTTAATGGATTGGTTAAATAGGGATCTCCAGAGACTTGTATAATGCAAGACTCTAAGTGAAACATTTATTTTCCTGTCCTTGGCTTTCAAATTTCAAATTTTAGGAAATGAATATGAATAAAAATCTTTTACTACAGAGTCCCCCATTTTCTGGAAGGGGAAAATATAAGTCAAATATCATCTATTTTGATCTGATCAAGGACCTGCTTTTTTATCTTGCTGCCAAATAGACTTTGAGAAAGTACCTACTGTTTCTGATTTGTAGAATTGGCATTTAATGCAGATACCAAGGATAATATTGAATGTAGACTTTTATTCAATCCTTGTTCATCAACTTAGCAAATCACTTCCTGATTTGAATTCACTGTTTTTCTTTTCTGGCTTATTCCCGAAGAACCAGAACTAATGTTCTCATTGAGTACAATTGTCACTTTTGCCACTTGGTTTCCATATTGGTCTGAAGTGACTGTGATATTTATTAACCATCTGAATGATACCAGTGGTAGTTCCAGTTTCTTATTTCCTATTCCTTAGCTTAAGTGTTACCCTGTATGTTCACTACCCATCTTGTTCCTGTTACAGTTTTACATGGGGGACAGTTTACTTTTTTTTATAATGTTTATCAAACATGAAAATGTATGACTTCTGTGTCAAGAAACTTGTGTCTGCATAGAATATTATCTAGGAAATAGTTTATGAAGAAGGTTATTTAATGGTCTTAAAAAAGTATGTGTCTGGAATCAACTCAAATGCCCATCGATGATAGACTGGACAGGGAAAATGTGGCACATATACACCATGGAATGTTATGCAGCCATCAAAAACGATGAGTTCGTGTCCTTTATAGGAACATGGATAAATCCGGAAACCATCATTCTCAGCAAACTGATACAAGAACAGAAAATCAAACACTGCATGTTCTCACTCATAGGCGGGTGTTGAACAATGAGAACACATGGACACAGGGAGGGGAGCATCACACACTGGGGTCTGTTGGGGGGAAATAGAGGAGAGACAGTGGGGGGTGGGGAAATAGGGGAGGGACAGTAGGGGGTGGGGAGTTGGGGAGAGAGAGCATGGGGAGAAATGCCAGATATAGGTGAAGGGGAGGAAGGCAGCAAATCACGCTGCCATATGTGTACCTATGCAACAATTTTGCATGTTCTTCACATGTACCCCAAAACCTAAAATGCAATTAAAAAGAAAAGAAAGAAAATACTTAAATGAAGGAATGTGACTATGCTCCAATCAAAAAAAAAAAAAAAGTATATGTGTATTTTTTTTTAAATCTAAACAGGTTCTAAGAAGCCTATACCTGAATGTATTGTGAGTGTGGAATCCATGGATATATTTCCTTTGGGCTGGTGTGAAACCAACGGCCACCCCCTCAGCACTCCTCGCCGAGCACGAGGTATCTGTTTCTGGGTTAGAGGATTGATTGTTAAATAATCTTTTGTGTGGCTGTTACCAATTAAAACTAATCTGGACATTTCAGAGAAAAACAAAATGACATTCTGGTTATCTGTTCCTGTATAGGAAATTATTTATTGTAACAAATATTTAATACTTTACAGTTTCTGTGGGTCAGAAATTTGGGTGTAACTTAGGTGGGTCCTCTGGATCTGAGTCTCTCATGGGCTGGGCTCAAGGCATCAGGGCTCAAGTCATCTCAAGGCTCAATGTGGGAGGATCTGCTCCCAGGTTTATACGCAGGTGATTATTGGCAAGTGTCTTAGTGCATTCTAGCTCCTGTAACAAAATACTATACACTGGGAAGTTTATAAATAACAGGGATTACTCACAGTTCTAGAGACCAGGAAGCCCAAGATCCAGGCATCGGCAGATTCAGTGTCTGGTGAGGGCACATTTCCTGGTCCATAGTTAGCACCTTCTCGTTGTGTCCTCATATGGTAGAAGGGATTACTAGCTTTGTGGGTCTCTTTTATTAGAGCACTAATCAAAATCATGAGGGCTCTGCCCTTCTGACCTTTCCTTCTTTTTTTTTTTTTTTTTTTTTTATTTGTGGAGACAGAGTCTTGCCCTGTCGCCAGGTGCCAGGCTGGAGTGCAGTGGCACGATCTCGGCTCACTGCAACCTCCGCCTCCCAGGTTCAAGCAATTCTCCTGCCTCAGCCTCCCTGGTAGCTGGGACTATAGGTGCACTCCACCACGCCCATCTAATTTTTTTTGTATTTTTAGTAGAGACAGGGTTTCACCATGTTGGCCAGGATAGTCTCGATTTTGTGACCTTGTGATCCACCCACCTCGGCCTCCCAAAGTGTGGGGATTACAGGCTTGAGCCACTGTGCCCAGCTTGACCTTCCCTTCTTCACCTTCCAGAGGCCCCACCTTCTTCTGCCAGCACATTGGTGGATAAGTTTCAATATGAATTTTGGAGAGTACAGACATTCAGACCATAGCAGCAAAAATGCATCTTCTTGTGGGCTGTTGGACTGAGGGCCTGAGCTCCTCGCTGGGTGTTGGCTGGAGCCTTCCTTTAGTTCCTTGCCACATGGGCCTCTTCATAAGGCAGTTCACAGCATGGCACCTGGCTTCCATCACAGTGAGGAAGCAAGAGAGCAAGAGAGGTTGAGGAAGATGGAAGCCAGAGTCTTTCTGCAACCTAATCTCAAAAGCGGCAACCTGTTTTCCCCCTTTGTAAACAGCTTTATTGAGATATAATTGATATACCAACTATCACCACAGTGAGATTGAGAACATTTTCATCATTTCCGAAAGAAACCCTATACCCATTAGCAATCAATCCTCACCCCCAGCATCCACAAATCCACTTTCTGTCTCCATAGATTTGCCTGTTCTATACATTTCATATAAATGGGATCATATAATGCATGGTCTTGTGTGACTGGCTTCTTTCCCTTAGCATACTACTCTCAGAGTTTATCCATGTTGTAGTGTATCCATTCTTTATTCCTTTATATAGCTGAAGAATATTCCATGCTATAAATACATTTTGTTTATCTATTTGGATATTTGAATTGTTTCCACTTTTTGACTATTAAGTTTTTTAGTTTTCTCCTGTGCTTTTCTCTGTGAGTTTTATAATTTTAACCCTTACATTTCCATTTAGATCTTTGGTCTCCTTTGGGTTTTTATACATGATATGAGGCAGAGGTCCCCAACCCCTGGGCCATGGACCACTACTGGTTCTATGGCCTGTTAGGAACTGGCCCACACAGCAGGAGGTGCGTGGCAGGCAAACGAGCATTAGTGCCTGAGTTCCACCTCTTGTCAGATGCGGGGTGGGCAGTAGATTCTCATAGGAGCGCGTACCTCACTGTGAACTGTGCATGCAAGGGATCTAGGTTGCATGCTCCTTATGAGAATCTAATGCCTGATCTTTTGAGGTGGAAGTTTAATCCTGAAACCACCCCCAACCCCCTGGTCCTTGGAAAAATTATCTTCCATGAAGCCAGTCCCTGTTGCCAAAGAGGTTGGGGACCGCTGATACAAGGTAAGGGTCAAACTTCATTCATGTGGATATTCAGCTTTCCCAACGCTTACTGACCCAGGGAGCCTTGAAAATAATATTTTTGCTCTTTGTACAAAGACTCCTACCAAGAAAATGTGCCACAGTCTAGATACTCAGATACAGTATTAATTTATAGTACTATATATATACACACACACACACACACACACATAGACACACACACACAGAACCAGGTTTTAAATACGGTAGTGTAGCCTTGATACACATCTAAATTTTCTTTTCTCTTTTCTTTTTCTTGGCACTTATATATTTTTTCTTTCTACAGTACATAAACAGAGGAAAATTGCAGTGGTTCAGCCAGAAAAACAGTAAGTAATGTAATAACATGTCTGAACAGTTGACATTTATAAGTTAGAATATCTAGAAAAAGAAATTACTATTTCAGAGGTATATTTCCTCATTTTCTCAGACAGCATAATTTTTTTAATTTAACATTTGATCAGTTGTATACTTCTCCTTGCAGTATATGCATTTTCTAAAATGGCGTTATATACAAAAGGGTAAAATGCATTCTCAAGATGGTCTCTAAATTGAGTTTTCTTTGGCTTTTAGAGCCTTAAGGTAGTTGAATAAAAGAAAGAAAATAAGAGTCCTCATACTGGTATTCATTAAGGGAGAGCAAAAATTGTAAATTAGGATATGAATTGTCACAGTGGAAAAAAAATAAGATTGGGATAGAAGACAACTCTAAAAGAAAAGACACACTCAAAAGGAGTGGCTTTGTGCCCAGCAAGAAATTCTTTGTTTGTAACATACCTGCACACACAGCTTTTGAGAAATAGTTAATTAGTAGTATCTTCAAACCTTAAAAGTACAAAGGTTTCTGTGTGCATATGTGTGTTTTAGAACATTGGGTGTTGAATTCTCTATTACTCTGCTGGGGCTGCCATACAAAATACCACAGACTGGGCAGCTTTAAACCAGTGGTCCCTAACATTTTTGGTACCAGGGACCAGTTCCGTGGAAGACGGTTTTTCTACAGACCAGGGTGGGGAATGGTTTTAGGATGAAACTGTTCCACCTCAGATCATCAGGTATTAGATTCTGATAAAGACCATGCAGCCTAGATCCCTCGCATACCCAGTTCACAATGGGGTTCACACTCCTATGAGAATCTAATGCTGCTGCTGATTTGACAGGAGGCGGAGCTCAGGCCATGATGCTCCCTCGCCTGCTATGTGGCCTCATTCCTAACAGGCTATGGACAGGTACTGGTTCATGGCCTGGGGATTGGGGACCCCTGCTTTAAACCACAGAAATCTATTTTCTCACATTCTGGAGGCTGGGACATCTGAGATCAAAGTGCTAATGGATTTGGTTCCTGGTGAGGGCATTCTCCCTGGATGGCAGATGGCTGTCTTCTGGCTGTGTCCTTCCATGGTGGAAAGATCTCTTTCTCCCCTGGCACCCCACACCCCTCTCTTCTTATAAGGCTATCATTGCTATTGGCTTACAGCCTACCCTTATGACCTCATTTAATCTTAATTACCTCCCCCAAGGCTCTATCTTCAAATATAGTTAAACTGAGCACTAGGGCTTCAACATATGAATCTGAGTAGGGGGAAACAATTTTGTATATAGCAAATTCTATAATCTTTGTAACTATGTGGGTAATAAAACTAACAACAGAAGTAGAGAGAAAGGCCATAGGCATTTATCCCAGGTAGAGAAGTGAGAAAACAATGAAAAAAAGACTGGCCTTGGATTTTCCTTGACTTAGTTGCCAAAACTGATCCAAAGCTTTAGTTAGGATGCATTCTAAAAGATAAATTAGGGCCAGGCGCTGTGGCTCACGCCTGTAATCCCAGCACTTTGGGAGGCCAAGGCGGGTGGATCACGAGGTCAGGAGTTCAAGATCAGCCTGGTCATCATAGTGAAACCCCATCTCTACTAAAAATACAAAAATTAGCTGGGTATGGTGGCACATGCCTGTAATCCCAGCTTCTCAGGAGGCTGAGGCAGGAGAATCACTTGAACCTGGGAGGCAGAGGTTGTAGTGAGTGGAGACCGCCATCGCACTCTAGCCTGGGTGACAGATTGAGACTGTCCCAAAAAAAAAAAAAAAAAAAAAAGACAAATTGGGTGACAGATTGAGACTCTGTCTCAAAAAAAAAAAAAGACAAATTAGCCTTTTTCAGTGATTGCTACATACAGAATAAGTCTTTGGATTTTTTAAAATAACATAATTTGTCTTTAATTTGAAAACCGATGGATAAAGAAAACAGACCCTATATAAAGTATCTGTTCTTTGACTTGAAAAATGAGTAGTTCGTTTGTGGTTTAAGCATCTCACAAGAAATTTTGTAATTTCTTGTCCAATGAATGAAGAGAAAATTTGAACATGTAGTATCACAATGCTATTAAACACAGACTTTCCATTGGCTCATTATATCTTACATACAGTTTTAAAAGCAATTGCTCTTTTTTTAAAAAAAAAGTATTATCAAAGGTTTACCTTCTATTATAGATTTCAAGGAAACTAACCCTCATACTTTACTCATCTTAAGGATTATCTCACTATTTTAATGTGTTTTCTTGACCCAGAGTACCATCCTCTAGGACTGTCCACGAGGGCCTGAGGAATCAGGAGCTGAACTCCACAGAGTCAGGTATAAGCATGTCGTCTTACAGAAAAGAAGACTTAGTTTCTTTTAATAGACTATGTCTGAAAATAACTTAAAACAGTACATTTGATTTATAGGATGTGACTTCATAGAGGGGTCTCTTAGTTGTGACTTTAGAGTTATAACTGTTTAGGATGTGTTTAATTTAATAATCATCTCTAAGCTGATGTTTCCATCCATTTCTAATAATTGTAGCTGTTCTTCACTGATCACTCATTGTGTGCCAAGGGCTCAGAAGGTCAGTGTTATCATCCTTGATTTTAGCTAAAGAACCTGAAGTTTTCCAGGCAGTGTTCTTTCTTAAGCTAGGTGGTTTTAAAACCCTTTTTATGATATGCATACTTTGAATATAAATTTCACAATTTATGTTTAAAAAAAAATAATGCACCAGTAAAAGAGATGGTCCCAGAGGCAATGCCCGATAAATGAGAGAAAGATCCTTGCTGGGGGTTCAAGCATTTGCTGAAAGATCCTTGCTGGAGGTTCAGGGTTCTCTCTTCTTTTTTTTTTTTTTTTTTTTTTTGGGCAACAGAGTGAGACTCTGTTGTCCAGGCTGGAGTGCAGTGGTGTGATCTAGGCTCACTGCAACCTCTGCCTAGATTTGCAACCTCTGCCTAGGTTCAAGCGATTCTCCTGCCTCAGCCTCCTGAGTAGCTGGGATTACAGGCATGCGCCACCACGCCTGGCTTATTTTTGTATTTTTGGTAGAGATGGGGTTTCACCATGTTGGTCAGGCTGGTCTCAGACTCCTGACCTTGTGATCTGCCCACCTCGGCCTCCCAAGTGCTGGGATTACAGGCGTGAACTGCTACGCCTGGCCTCTTAAACTATTCTTAACTTCCCTGTGCTCGTTAAATAATGTTTAGCATCTTGGCTGTGTGTATTGTAACACAGATTGGGTATTCACATGATATTTAGTAAATGCCTAGAAGAGAAATCAAAGCTCAGGGAGGTCACACAGCTTATCAGTAGAAAGGCCAGAAACGAAACTGAAGTCTTTCATGAATTTGAAACCCATACTTCCATCTCTTCTACCCATTGCCTTTTCATTACATCATTTGTACATAGAGGGTTAGGGCTGTGTAAGTCCTTGCTTTTGATGCATTGCTGGCCATTCGAATGCCTACTGAAATCACAGAATTTAAGACATTAATATCTTATACACAACCTCAGCCAAGGCCTTTTGGTTTGGGTTTCGTCATAGGTCAGGTTCCCTGGGAAACAGAGTCTGAGACTCTGACATATGCATGCAGGAGTTTCACTGGGGAGTATTTTTGGGAACACCTCCTTGCAAGGAGTAAGGGAAGTAGGATTGGGCAGAGAGATAAGTTGAACCATGATGCAGTTGCTTCATGGTTTCTTCTAGTTCCACTGGGAGCCCTGAAGCTCATCTAACCACTCAGAGCTGATCCTAATTCAGGTGTGGTGGCCACACTCTACTGACCAGTTATTGGAAGTAAGCCACTGTTCTCTCCCCACCTCACAAGAGACAAGATGGCCCTCTCCTGCTGAGAGAAGTACCAAGCTCTGGGCAATTCCAGAGTAGACTTAAAACTGAGAGCTGTACACTGCTAGCATGCCCAGCAGCAGGGGCGTGAGTGCCTTAATCCTGAAGAGAGGGATCTGAGTTGCAGGATTCAACTGAAAATGTGTGTACCAGCATACTGGCCACTGTGATAGACCATACTCCTTTTTTTTTTTTTTTTTTTGAGACAGGGTCTTCCTGTCACTTTCACCCAGGCTGGAGTGCAGTGGTGTGATATCAGCTCACTGCAACCTCCATCTCCTTGGCTCAAGCCATCCTCCTACCTCAGCCTCCCGAGTAGCTGGGACATGCCCCCATTGGCATCTGTAATTTTTTTTTTTTTTTTTTTTTTTTTTGGTAGAGATGGGAATTCACTATGTTACCCAGGCTGGTCTCAAACTCCTGGACTCAGGTGATCTGCTCCCACTTCAGCCTCCCAAATTGCTGGGATTGTGGGCATGAGCCACCACACCTGGCCATGAACATTTTTTTTTTTTTTTTTTTTT